GAACTTTTAACTATACCTTACCGTGCAAATTTTTGAGAATTTCTTTTTTAATGTGTGTATTTGTACAGTGTCTTATGAGAAAGTAAGATTTCAACAACAATTTTCGAATTATAATTAATTTTACTATTATTTATTGATTAGATGGAGTAGAACAAAACTAAAAATAAGGTTTTTGAAATATTTAGGTTTTGTTTTTTACAATAAAATATATAGGTTACCGTGGAATTTATTGAGAAATTATTATTAAAAAATCACAAAAAATTTTCAACTAGGTTACTTGAAAATTTTTTGTGATTTTTTAATATTAATTTCTCAATAAGTTCCACGGTTTACTATATGTATTTTATTGTATCAAACAAAATCTAAATATTTCAAAAACCTTATTTTTAGTTTTTTTCTACTCCATCTAATCAATAAATAATAGTATAATTCGAGAATTGTTGTTGAGGACTTACTTTCTCGTGAGGCACTGTACAAATACTCACATTTAAAAAAAAAATTCTCAAAAATTTGCAAGGTAAGGTATAGTTAAAAGTTCAGTATTAGATAAATAAGGACTTCAACTATTAGAAAAAAATGAATTTTAGTCATAATCTAATAACTTTTTTTTTAACATTTGAGGCGAGAGGTGTGGTGAAGGGACCTCCTTAAATCGTTAAGGTTATTCATTACACAGTGATTGGGTATCTCAAAATGATAAGAAAGTGCATAATTTACAGAAAATCTTAAATGTAGATAGGTATTAGGCATCTTAACTAGTCAATGCGTCCTTACACTAATCAATATTTAATTCAAACTTTTACTAATGAATGTACCTATACAATCTCAAACTTTGAATAAAATAAAACTCGACATCTCGACAATCCAAATAAATACTTTCTCTAATAATTATGAGGTCGATTGACATAACCTAAAAATTTTATAATAATAAAAAAACATTACTTTAGAATGGCAATATATGTAATATTTGCATTGCACGCTAATTTAAATAGTGTATTTCAAGAAAAACATTTATTACTTTACTACTGTAAAAAGTCAAAATACATTTAAAATGGTCTCAAACATTTTCTTGCCACTGAATAATTAAAATATAACTCTATCTATATAAAATAATTATTATGATTATTATTAGCTATGGATATTTTTTATAGAATAGTATATTTATAAATCTAAAGACAGTAAAAAATAAAAAAAAATACCTATAGTTTTAATACCATCAATAGTGGATACCTACTCACTGACAAATTATTAAATATTAATAAGTTGATAAATAGTAACATTACCAGAAGAATTGTTGTTTTTGTAAACTACGTTAAACCAATGATTCAATAAAACAAAATCTGAAGATTTTTAAATGCATAATATGAGAATTTCAAATTTTACAACTAGTTGAACGACTAATGATTATATGATACATGCAGTTAAAAAAAACAAAATTCAAATTATCTTGATGAAAATATGTTACTTATTGATGTTTCCATTATATAGAAAAAGTAAATTCTACATTTTAATCAATATTAACCAATTTAAAAAATTGAAGCAATATTGTTTTTCATTGAATAATGTTGTTTTATGAACTGTGTTTGTGAACGTCCATTGGGAAATGCAGTAGGGGACGTCGATCCTTGGAACCTTCATTTCTGCTTTAACTCCGACATTGACATCACAGTTTTTTCACCGTGTGTCGTGACCAGTTAAAAATTGTAGTCAAAAAGGAATTTTCAAAAAGCCCAAGCAAAGCCATAAAACCCCAAGAGGCTAGAATTACAAAAAAAGCAGGCGCTGCCAACCACAAGCTGCCAACAAAGACACAAAAGCTCCAAAGTGTCCACGCTCAACAGACGCGACACCGCTACAGGTCAATCGACTAAGAAAGAAGGCTAGGATGGACAAAGTCTCGTTCATATCTCAGTGGATGTTGTAGTGGTAGCAGTAGGGTAGCCGGAGAACAAAATGAGTCCATAGAGACTAGACAAAGTCCAAGACTCGAGCTCCGAGGTCCACGATAAAATTCCTACAGAGATTGGTTGCGGGACACCGTCACAACCATTCAACTCTGAGGAGGGGCAACACTAAAAGCCTTGAAAGGAGACGATATTCCCAGGCCACTAACCCGCACAACATTCGCACTGACGAAAGAGGACAAAGGTCCGAAGTGAAAAAAATCCTTAGAAGGCTGAAATTAGCCAGCATTGGTTAAATACACACCTTTGGACAATGTAGGGTAAACCTCATCTAGAAAAGGTCAAATGTTGGCTTTCTAGATGGATCCTGAATCCCTAGAAGAGCTAAAAAAAGTTATGGCCACGGAGACTAAAATTTCAAGTCACAGGAGGACATAACCAAGAGTCTGCCGGAAGGGTGAATAACCGAGGCACAAGCAGGGAAGAGGACACCAAAGAGTCCTCTACAGAGGAGGACACCCTCTTAGAGGACGACGAGGTGGAGTCAGTCAGTAGATTTGGTTCTCTTGCAAGAACCCTGAGTACATGGCGGGAGGGTATCAGGCCTAAAAACCAATCAAGGTAAGATATTATACAACGTCTAAAAGACCTCTTGTATGTATCGTATAAAACAATAGGATAAACTGTGTACTAATACCGGTGTTTTGCACCGCTGTCATTGTTAAAGCTCTCCTAACTACGCCGACAGAGCAAGAAACAAAAAGATGGATAGTCTCTTCTGCATATTTTTCAGGTGAGGAACTATGTCCACCGCATATAATAGGCAAAATAGTCTCATATGCGACAAGGGCTAACCTAAAAGTCATCATGGGATTTGATTCCAAGGCCCACCATACCATTTGGGGAAGCACTGACATCAATACAAGAGGTGAGTATTTATTACAATTCATCTTATCTAGGTAAGGTTTAGTAATTGGTAATATAAGTAACAAATCAATTTTCATCACGGCGATGAGAAAAGAAGTCCTAGATATGACTGCTCGAGTAAAGCAAATAATATTTCAAAGTGGCATGTGTCAGACGAACCATCTTGCTCAGACGACAGACAGATTAGATTTAATCTAATTACCCCACCTCGGTAATTCAACCAAATACAGAAACCCTAGAGAGACGAACTGGGAAAGATATTCAACATCACTTGGAGAGTATCTGGAAGAGGGCATGGTCAAATTAATAGATAAACAAAGCCTTGACCGAGTAGTAGATAAAGTAAGTAAAGTCATTATAACCGCTCACGAGAAAAACTGTTCGGAGAAAACAAAATAGAGATGAACAAAAATAGTCTGGTAGCACAAACACTTGAAACACCTTAGAGGTGAAGTGCGAAGGCCATTTAATAAAGCCAAATCAATCAAAGACGGGGCCCTCATGCAGTACAACAAGGAGATAAGTCTAAAAAACAATTATAGAGGAAGTTCTGTGAAGAGTTATCTGAAACACCCACATGCTCTAAAATTCACAAAGTGCTGGCTAAAAAGGGTACTGTAAACCAGGTAAGATGATGAAACCTATGCAAAAACCTTCGAGAAAACGTTATCAGTGCTCACAGAAGTACACTTTACATCCGCAAAAATTTTGTTAGACCCGATAGTAGACACTCAAAGAAGGTCTGCTAGTCCAACTCCTTTAAAATGGAGGCTACTTACAAAAATATCGAGACTGAACAAAATTAGATGGGCTTCAAATAAATTTCAGCCATACAAATCCCCAGGAGTATATCTCATTCTACTACTAAAGGACAAGAAACTTTAATTCCTCACATGTATCGCACTTTGTATCCACCATAGTATTCTTGCAATATTGTTAGCGTTTATTGTGATTGTTTTATTTTATAGCCAAAGTTCTAAAACCTTTTAAACATTGCATGGATTGTAACACCTTCAGCCTCTCAATGTTCAATATAAATATTGTATCCACCCGTCGCTTATGATATGGTAGGTAATTTTAGCGGCAATTTTAGGTTGTTAAATATCGCAACCGACTGTTTTATTCGTGTAAATTAACGTATGCGCCTGTCACTTGCGTTATTTTTCACATTATAGCGTCAGTCTTTAACGCGCAACGGTAGTTAAATATTATATTTGGCGCAACATTAAAAATATCTTTCCACGGACTCCTTAAAATGCCTTTATGAAATATCTAAAATAATGGGCTATTATCTCTAGTAATACATCATTCGATAATAATAATAATAATAATAATAATAATAATAATAATAATAATAATAATAATAATAATAATAATAAAATATATCCAAAAAAGCGGAAAAACAGTTTATTGTTTTTCCTGTAAGATTACTTAAATGGCGCATACAATACTTTGCCTGGACAGGGACGATATTTGGAAAACTCAAATTAAGTTTTAACATGACATAAACTACTGTAATAAAAACCAATATAATTATTTTTATCAGTGTATAGCATTTATTACGCTCCATTAATTTTTTCTCCGTGTCTTGAGTTAAATTTAAGGTCACAAAATTTTACTCTCCGAATTTCAAAGAATTTGAGAGATATTTAACTGATTTTTAAAAATATCGTTATGTACATATTCTTCTATTTATTTCACAAATGTTTTTTAGAAAAATATTAACGAATATTTAATTTGTTAATAATATGAGGGAACATAACCTCATTTATTTTAATTTTACATTACTTTATTTTTAAACTAGGGGAAGCAGCAATTTGAATTTTCCGCGCCGATTGTTTATTTGACAAAGTTCACATAAACCAAAATCTCTAATATTTCTTTATCTATAATTTCACACATCATGGTCCATAACTTGAAAATTTTAAATATCGTTGTGCTTACTTTAAATTAGATTTTTGCTAATTACCTATTAGTAATCTACAATTCTACAATCAAATAGATCAGGTCTTTTCAGAATTAACTAGGCAATTATATTGTTTTTCGTCTAATTTTCTGTCAATTATAATGGATATGACACCAGTTCTGCAAATATTTAATGATTTACATGTAGATAAATATTTAAAGATGCGTTGTGAATACGAATAAAAATATTTTAAAAGTACTTACAATTTTCGTTTGATCGTTAAAGGTAATACCAGTATTTTTCGCACACTGGTACAGAGGAATAAGAGATTCAAATTTATCTTCTAAACGTCTCATCGTTTCTTCGTCAATGTTGTCTCTATTTTGAGCTAGTTGGTTGTCCAATTTGTCCATCTCTTTATTTACAATGTCAGCTTCCATATGGAACTTCACGTATATCCTGGAAAGTTCCATACGATTTTCTAGGATGTTCTTTAACTTCATCCAACGCTCGTGAAGCTGCTCTACTTTTACATCTACGTCTTTTCTTTGGTTATCTTCTAAGTATTCTAAGATTGGCGGTAGTGTTAGTAGTAGTGTGTTAATTTCGTTTCCTTTCGTCTGAAAAGAATGAAAATAATGTTTAGTTGGTACAAAATGGGTGGGTTAATTTTAAATTGCAAATCTCACCACCAAAAAGTATATATAAATAATAATAATAATTGTTAATATAGTTGCATGTATCAATATTATGGAGCATGAAAATTATCTTTAATATACCAGTTAAGAATACCCTTAACATAAATAATTTTAAGACCGCCCCTGTAACATTCACTTAAGTAATAATTCAAAGCTAGGTTGGCAAACTCAATAAAGTGAAATTAACTAGCGTGCTTGCTGTCTAATACAGATAAACGAATTTGAAATCAATAGTAACGATTGGACAAAGAAAAGTTATTGGCAATATGTAAGCTCGAAAATGATTGACGGAGCCTCAACGGTTGTTAAAAGCGCGGCACCTAAGCAGATTCGTATCACTGTTTATACCATACAAATCAACAGGGGTATTAAACCCACGCCAACAATGGCGAACAAGTATAAATATTCTGAGTAAGAAGCTTATGTCTATGTGTATATATGTGTAAATACAAATCAAATTATGTAGTGTGGTGTTCTCTTTATAAATAAACAGTGTTAAAGGCAGAGGTGCTTGTTTTCTTCTTTCGTCGATAGTTTAGCCCAGAGCCGGCAACTTTCTTAAAACATGGATTACAGTCCGCTTCAGAAGTATAGCCTAGTGGAGTCTGTGTAAGATAAATACCTTAACAGGCTCCACAAATAATACCCACCAACTAGACTAACTATTAACTAGTTCAATTCTATTCCAAGTAGAAACGCATGGAAATAGAATCCAGAGTTCTTAACTCTAAACAGCTCGTCTGGCTTACAGAAGGGTACAGAACCGATAAAGTTACTAGACTGTATCTATGGCATGCCCTCAAAGTCTATTTCGCATTCGAAAAGCATTCGCATTCACCATTTACGTATATGCACAACTAAAATAATTTTACTCCAATAAGAAAATTGTATTTTGCTGGTCCCAAACTACTTTAAGTCTGTTTTTCGAAAAGTGCTTAGGCCTAGAAATTTGAATAGCTACACAGGTTCCTAATATATGGATCAGAAAAAGGGTACTGGAAATATAAAAAATAAAAGGATTATTGGGCAAATACCGCAAAAAAATGAAAAAAACGCCTAAAGGCAAACCGTAGACACGTATTTCTAAATATTGGTCTTCATCAGTACGGTGCAGCTAAGTTCAAAAGAGAATGGAACTAGCGATGAAATCAAATCAACAGGAGACCACTCACAAATATGTGGTTGGCTTCTTATCTATTGGTTCATTTTTTTTAAAAAAAAGTAGATGTTTCAAATTTATATCGTACAGAGCCACGTGAAAAACAAAATCTATTTTTGTCTAGAAAACGAATGAAATCAGCCATAACTCAACCGTCATAACTCAACCGTCATAACTCAACCGTCATAACTCAACCGCCATAACTCAACCGCCATAACTCAACTGCCATAAATCAACCGCTGTAAACCACATGCAGTAATCTGAACGTTGGTTCCAGAGAGGCAGAAATCTCTTGATCGAGCTGAGTTAATTGGAAAAGCGACAGCTACAACTCGAAGTTATTAAGAAGAAAGAGTAACCGACAAAGGCGTTGGTTCCTGAGGGGCAGAAATCTCAACTACCTATGAAGTGGCTAGCAAAAAAGCAAAATGTGGTAATTACTAGTGACTAAAATTATTTATGTACGAATAAAAATTTGATACCTGATAACTGTAAATAATTTGTTTTCTGAACGGTTTCTTGTTTTTTAAATAAAATCGTTAATTTTTATAAGTATATATGATGAATCTTATTTTTTAAAGGTTACACAAATTCTCTTTTATTCACACTAAATTCTGAATAAGTATTTATTAACTTCTTTTTATTAATAAAGCTAGAGTTTATAATTCTCACTAGCTTTTAAAAATAAAGAAAGAGAATTATTGGTGCCTAGAAAAATTATTACCCTAAAATTGTCTATTTGAAAAGCCGAATTCACGACAGAGAAAAGTATGGTCAATGTGCTCATTTATTTTTTTTAATTTTTAAGGTAAGTAACATTTGCTATTAAATTTCACTGAGCTAGTAAAAATCTCTATAAGTGTTTTGAAATTACATTTATCAAAAAGTTAACGAATAATATTACAAAATGGCGGGCAAAGTGTCAGGGTAATATTGCAGGGAAACTGTCTTGCTGATTCACTAGCCAAGAAAGCACCCAACCAAATACTTTTTGGACCTGGCCCTTCTATTGCCCTGACAAAGTCGGTAGTGACTGACCTAATTAAAAAACATTCCCTTGTGAAATTCAAGGAAAGATGGGATGAAACAAGAAACTGCAGAGTTGCCAGGGAGTTCTTAAGTTATCCTGATAACACTGCAGTAAACAAATACTTGACTATGAGTAGACAGAATCTGCGCCTAGTCACAGGCATTCTGAATGGTCATTGCCAAGTTTTTCCATATCGTGGGGCTGTCAGAATCCGCACTCTACAGAGGGTGCGAACAAAAAGGTGAGACCAACGAGCATATCCTCTACGATTGCTCGACGCTCTCATTTATTAGGAGATTTGTGTTCGGCGAGTATTGGCGACGTTGTCTACATTAAATCTGTAGGCTAGATCACGAGCTAGGAGGTACCTATCATCTTAGGAGGATGCACAATGGGCCTAATAAGGCCTAAGTGTTGTGGGGAGTAACCTACCCTCCACACGTTACAGATACAGATCCTAAGAAGTTTTTTACAAATTAATATTATTTGGATGTACCACTTTAAAAAACTGTCAACATAGATGCCAAGATATTTCACAGATCTTTTCAAGAGTATATATTTTTCGTTAAGTTTAACATATTTATAGGTACACGATGTAGGAAAATTCATACACTTGCAACAAAAGTAACAAAAATGCTTGCAAAGGGATTTATGTTGTTGTTATAGACATCTAGAAGCAAATTATTTCATTGCCAGCAAAAAAAACGAAAAACTAGTGATATGACACATTATTTTTATTTTACAGGTTATACGACAGCTTCCACTATTTGGATATAGTACACGATGTTGACCCCCTCCCCTGTACCTAACTACAAATAGAAATAAAAAAACACGACATGCCGCTTTTGGAGTCATATAAGAGACTAATATGGCATTAAGCAGGTTGATGGAATGGTTGCTTCCGAGTTTATTGATGGACTTCAGCGCCGTACTTTTGACCTCAAACAAACTGAAAATTTTGGAAATTTGTTGCCAACATTACCGCTAGTTAAAACCTATCCCGCTTTAAAAGTTTCAAATAAAGTCAAGAAAATTTTCTGGTCGAAGAGATCAAGTATTTTATGTAAAGCAAAAAAAAAATAATTTTCATTTTAAATGTTTTTTATTTTATATAAAATAAATCACGAAAAAATATTGCTGTTTCTACTTCTTATATGAAGAAAGGAAACAAGTCAATAAAAAAAGTCACTTGTGTTAGAAACGAATAATTTTGACATTTATATTTTCTTTATTATAAATATCATAAGAAAAGATAATACATATGAGTTGCGTAAGATAACTAGTAATATTTAATTAGAATACTTTTTGTAGTAGATGAAATAGTTATTTTTGAACTAAATTATATGTTTTGTTCAGATCGTGATTATAATATTTGATCGCTAATATCTCAGAAGTAGAATAAAGAATCGCGTGTAAAATCATAAAATTTTGGTTGAGTCCAAAAATTGAAAACTGCCATGAAAGAAGCGTTAATGAAAGAGACGCCCTAGTGCATCAAGATCGAGTTCAGCATTCAGTAAAATATCAAGCACATCAAGTCCAACATCTCCTGAAAGACGTTAATAAAAGAAAAATTTCAAGTAACACACGAAATTCAAAAAATTTGCGACGTTCAGGGGGATCTAAAAATGCAAGATTGTCGGATAAACAATTATTAGATATTGGGGTAAGTATGGCAATTAATTCTTTTCGCGAAAGAAATAACAGTAAAGTACCTTGCGAAAGTTTAACCCGATTTTGATCCTAATCATAAATAAATAAATAAATAAATAAATATTTACGAATGGCTTACAATAATTGGCGAGCATGCTAATTGTTACGATTGGGATGAAAATATAATAAAATTTCAAGCACTTAACAAACTTAAAGGTACTGCAGAAAAATGGCACCAACATAATATTAAAAGTGAGATTGGTTGGCAAATTATACATGGGCAAAATGGAAAGAATTGCTTCGTGAAGTGTTTCAATCAAATCAGAATACGTATGCTTTGTTTATGGTTCATAGTCCTAGAAATGGAGAGTCTTTATATTGCTTCCAATTTGATCGTTTGGAAAAATAAAAAAATGAAAATTGAACTTTTCTCAGAAAGATATAAATTTTCACTTATCATAGGAGATATTAAAAATGAATCCATATCTTCTGCAACAAAAGTAAGTGGAATAAATAAATTCAATTCATTGGCCAACTCACCCAAAGATCGAGTGCATGAGGTAATAATATTAGAACAAATCTTCATGAGTACTCTCAGTCCAATGTTAGGGAAACCAATAAATTTCACAATAAAACAGGGCATATAAAAAAATTAATTATAAAAATATAGCCAAAACACAAAAATGTAAATATTGCGATAAAATCGACCATTTTGAAAATGAATGTTTTTAAAAGAAAAAAATTATCAACCTAAGAACTATAAAGACGAAAGTAAAACAAAATTAGAATTAAAATTAATTTCAACTAAACAAAGAATACATTTGGCGGTCGAAATAATCAGCTGCGCAGCTAGTAGGAACTGAATACAATTTTAAAACACTGGCTATGAAGACATGACATTCAGAGCTATGAATCACTTAGAAGCTATATACATTTCTATAAATTGGCTAAGAAAATACATAACAAAAAAAAATTAAAATCATTGACCAAGAGTACTCATGCTTATTTGTTTCAGATAAGTACGACAAATATTTGATAAGGTATTTGGTTGCTTCAGAAGTTGTTGGTTCATTTTGTTTCTTGTTTTGATTGAAGCTATGAGACCGTCAGTTATTCAGTCCTTTAAACACTTGATTTTTAACATAAGTTATGCTGGATTGATTAATAATGTCTTGAATACTTTTTACAAATAATTAAGTTTTCTATATTATTTTCATTATAAAGAAAGACCCAGAATATTCTCCCTCGAGAATAATATTTTTTTCTCGGTAATGTATTGTGTTTTATTATTTTTTTATTTTGTTTATGCTAATGATATTTAGAGATAGTATATTATTGTCAACTGTAATTGCATAGTGATTTGACAGTTTATTTTTAACAATTGATGGTCATTAAAATAAGTATATGTGTTTATTTCAGCAAAAATTTGGTCAATGTAGCTAAAACATTCCACGTTTAGTTTAGGGTCAGAATAAAATAAAAAATAATATAATAAAACTAGAAAATTTTATCATCTCTGTCGAATAATAATGTGGTATTATTTATTAATATACTTGTTTATATATGAGACGGTACTTCCAGATACTGATATTAAGTCAATGACGTTGACGTTATTACACCTATTATAATAATTGCATATTAAAGTTTAGATTTATTGTTTCATTAATAATGTTCTAACTAATTGTATGTAATACTACCTAATCGTGGTTTCAAGTAACGCGAATAACCGGTACACTTCTTAGAAATGAAATTATAAGCTCACCTGCAAATCAGTAAGCAATTGATTATGCAATTCGTAAAAATCTTTAGCCATAGGAAAATCGCTGCCCATATCTCTGTGGCCTTGAAGGAACGCCTCTGCGATTGTCACCAACCAGCTATATATCTCGTTGTGCTTTTCCAAGAAGTTATTTAATGCCGTATTAATTCTAATGTTTTCTTCTTTGTGCGCCGTACACAATCCGTCTAGGACGATCTTCTTATTTTCTAATTCTTCTACCATGTGTTTCACTCCTTCTGTACCTAAAAAAATATTAAAGTGCAAAATCATCGCTGGTTGTAAATAATTTATTACATTATTATTGAAAACCAGAAGTAATGTAACATTTTAATGTAATGTTAATATTAACTGACTGTTTAAATTGAAAATAATTTTTTGTTGCACTTTCAGTCTACGCGTTGATACTAGGTATGCCTTTAATTAGGTTAAAAGTTAAATGTATTGGATACCGGGATTGGTTATGACGATTTTTACTAAAAATTATAACCTTCACACAGAAGTCTGTGAAGAGTATTATAGGTTTATTTTCAAGGCATCAAAATTTTTAATATTTGACATTATTATATTCTTTACACAGCAATTTGTGAAGAGTATTATAGGTTTATTTTCAAGAAACCAAAATGTTTTTTTTTTTTTTAGTTTTTACACCCTTCGGATCCTTCCGTGCTACACCCTAATCCGTCTATAGCCTGGCGGCACTGCAGCCTGCGGCTTATTGTACCACCATTTGAAGGTTCTACTACTTCCTCATTCACTCCCTGATTCATCGTCATTCACTCCACGTCGTCGGTGGTTAACCGCTAGTCGGATGAGTCCCATAGTGACACGGCCCATGGTGGAACCTCTTAGCGGTCACCCATCCACGACGTGACCGGAGAATCACTGCTTAACTGTTGCGAGTATGTGGATGCACACTAAGCTCGCAGCTAGCCTCTCCGGCAACCAAAATGTTTGACATTGGTCCAATTTTAAAGAACATGCCGCCCCGTCCGATGTCACGTTTTTTTAGTTAAAAACGAGAAATGATATTGATTATGAAAAAAAAAAATCTGAGTAAATCATAAATCAAAAACGAAAAGTATTATCAACCTGAAATCTTTGATCAAAATCAGGCTTTAAATGGAGGTAAAGCCTATTGATCCTAAAAAAAATCTGAATAAAAATGGAGGATTAAACGAAAAATAATATCAAGCTGTATGAGGGGACAAAGTCCAATGATTTTAGAAAAATTTGAATAAAATGGGGAATAAGGGGGGGTTGAAATAAAAATAAACATGAAATTTTTGTAAAAATCAAGCTCTATAATCCCTTATATTCGCATGAAGCCTATTGATTCTGAAAAAAAAAAAAAAACTGAATAAAAATGGAGAGAAGGGGGGTTGAAATATTGATAAAATCATAACTCAGTAACAAAAAACGATATCAAGTGGAAATCTTCAGGGAAAATAAAGCTTTATAAGGAGATGGAGACTATTAATTCTGAAAAAATCTGATTAAAAATAGAGGTTAAAAGAGCGTAGGTTAAACTATAAAGAATCTAGATTATAAATACGTTTAGCGGGCGTGCCCCTTTATCGTCCGCGGACTACTTTACCGCCCGCGAACTACTATACCGCCCGGCGGGCGATAAAGTAATATTATATTTATTATTCAACCAGCGGGTAATGATGGCTATTACTCAGGAGGATGAAGTTTGCACTACGAGCCGCAGGCGAATAGTGTAATCATCCGACTGAGTAAAAGCCATTACCTACAAGTAGAATACTGTACTTTTTCTATGATTATTAAATTAAATAATAGAAAAGAGTTATGCAATATTTTATTTTATTTATTTGTTCCAAAATTAATTGTGAAATTGGAACAGTTTTGAAAATTTACAGAAGCGTTTGAATCCAAATCAACAGTAGTAATTAAGTAATAAAAAAAATAATTGAGTAATAAAAAAAACTCACTATACGAGTAACCACTTAAATTAATCAATAGAAAGTGGATGTATAATACTAATATTGTTTTTTTGTGTGTCATCGGCTTCAACTGCTAAGGTTATTTCGCATCGTGTTCGGTATAGGCTTTGTTACTGTTTCTCAGCGCCACTTTAGGAACAGCACTGCTGTGAGTGTGTGTGTGTGAAGGGGTGGTTGGCATCGGACATAATCCATTTGCCACAGACTTTTGGTAAAATCTTTAATGGTTTAGATATTATTGAGGTGAAATAAAATAAAATATTATAAAAGAACCAAAAAGAAAACCTAGAATTTATTAAAAGTAAAAACTAAGTTTCAAATGTCAAGTCTAATATTATCTAATATATTAATAAGGGCATCGAAAATCTTTTTGTTTTGTAAGCTGAGTAAGACAGTTAAGTTGGTTGGCATCGGTATCAGGTTATCAATTAATGTTTTGATAAAATCTGTCCTCTCCATTGAGTGTTTAGTGCATGAAAATAAAATGTGGTTCATATTACATAACATATCGAAAGATTATCGCATTCGCAAAGCGGAGATGGTGCTATTCCAATTTTGTGAAGATGAGCAGGGTATCTTCCATGATTTAATTTTAGACGTGTAATGGTGACCGCATGTTTTCTGGGTAAATTATAATTTGATAAATGTGTTATTCTTGTTGGTAAAGAGGGGTGTATAGTACCGTAATGATTTTTGGATGATGATGATGATGTAAAATCTATCCATAAGTTCTCCCAGTCCAGACGTATTTGGTTTTTGATTGTGCTGACTAGATCATCATAGAAGGAAATGTTGATAAAATTTGAAGATAGTGTTGCTTGTTTGGCTAATTGATCAACTATTTCATTCCCAACAATGCCACAGTGACCTTTTACCCTCACAAATACTACATTAACATTAGCCGAGTGTAAAGCATAACAGTATTCTTTTATTTTACATAGATGGGTAGATTTATACATTTTAAAATAATTTAAGTTATGTAATGCTGCTAGGACAGATTTAGAATCGGACAAGATAACCGCCTTTTTTGAACTTTTATTTTCTAGGAGCCATTTTAAGGCCGATTCAATAGCAAGAGCTTCTGAAGAAAATACAGAACATATTTTTGGTATCTGGCCTAGGTAATTGTAATTTGGGGCAGAAACGTGAAAAGCAGAACCATTTCCCTTTTCCGATTTAGATTTCAGTATATATATGTAAATAATTTTCGAAACGGCTTAATATATATTGAAGCAATTTATCGTTGTAGCAAAATATTTCATTATATTTTGGGAATACGATAGTAGGTTTAAACATAATAGCATCAAATTGTAAATAGGGTATATATTTAGTTCCGTAACGGGATTGGTGTTTTCTCTTATAAAAGCTTCTGCTAATAATGAACCTCTTTTTAATTTCCAATAATCTGCCGTTAAGTTATCTACTGCGAGTTGATAAAGATTTTTTAAAAAAGGGCTGCTGTTAATTAGAACCCAACAGTAAATGGTCGAGTGGGGAATCCTACCAAGGTATCAGAATTAATTTTAAATAATTAAATTAAATGAAGATTCTACCACTGAGATACCCACCCACTACTTATATTTTTTTTTAATTTGGTGTCATCGGCATCGACTGCTAAGGTCATTAGCCTCGTGTTCTGTGTAGGCTTTGTTACTGTTTCCCAGTGCCACTTTAGGAACAGCACTGTTAATTAGAACCCAACAGTGAATGGTCAAGTGAAACTTATATTGTTAAAAATTATTTTTTTATTTCTTCTAAAAAATCACATCTAGTTAGTAAAAAATAGCTATTTATTAATAAACGATCTTTAAAACGGTCGTACATAAAATTTTATATATTTTTTAATAAATTATCATTAAAAGGGTCGTGCTTAAAATTTTGTATGTATTTCGGGCGTAAACAGCGTTTACGGACCTTACGTATTAATAGCCCTCACCTAGCGGCTCGGGCTCTTACTTATACGTTGTGGTCCATAAACGCCTGTTTTAAGCCCTTGATACATAAATAATTTTTTTATACTATTGCTACTTCCAAACCATACTGGTTAGAAGGTCGGAGGAAAAATTCAATTATTTCTATTTTTATTTTGGTTATTCTTCGTTGATTTTCATAACTGCTAAAAAATAGGTTTTTAATTCGATAAAAAATTCTCTTTGATTTGACGTTTTCAGATTTCGTATCCAACGTTTTGTATTCACCAGACCACCCTCAACTTATATTTTTTTTTTAAACATGGACCTGGATATTTTATAACAGTATTCGAAATAACGTTTTATCCTAAAGCCAGCGGTGTATCATAAATTGCCATTCAAAGGCGGTTTTCAGATAATCTAGACTGTTATCCAAATTTTATTAAATTGACAGTTAATTTTCGCCATCTTCAGTTGAATCAACATATGCCGCCTCTCAATGGAATAAATTATAAAAGTAATTGTAAAAATCCGACTTCAAAATCGTTTAGATCCCATCATCAGATCTTGACCTAATTTATTTGGGACTACCCTTGAGGTACCCCCTTGTCGATGAGTACGCGTCCGATTAGAAATAAAAGAAAAGGTAAAATAATTCATAAAATTTTAGTCGATATCATGACAAGGGTTCCCATGACAACAGTTTGTCCATAACTGATTTCAGCTGAACTAAAATTAAATTAAATCCTCAATAATTTGGCAACCATGCATTTCCTCGGGATTTAGGTTTTTTATTAGTCGTTATCATGATAAGCATTCCCATGGCAACAATTTCTGCATTACTGATTTCAGCGATATAAAATTAAAATTAAATAAAGTTGAGCCCAGTTTGACATCAAAACGGCATTGTTTCGATTTCATGAAGACGTTTTTATCCAAATTCTATATGGTGTTAAAATAAACGATGGACAACATATTGTATGTAAATCAAGGAAAAGCTTATATGATCAGAAATAAGCTCCACGCTGTTGGAACCATAATATCAATGAATTAGTTACGGATTTTGTGCTAGGATAGCAGACTCATCCCATACAGCACACATTATTTCAAAAATGTTTCAGAAATATTTTAAACGTTTTAAACATATAGCAAGTTTCTGAAATATTTCTGAAATATTTAAATTAAATATTTCATTGCAAATGTTTCTGAAACATGGTATACATGTTACACAAAAGGTTACTAACTAAACGAGTTATGTTGTAAAAGGCCAACAATTAATGAAGATTTTTTGTAAGAAGATGGGATATGTAGTATATTTTATTTTTTATTTCATGTCCTTGTCCAGCCACCAGTTAGAAACAAGCCTATATTCTAAATAGTTATAGATTTGAGTTGTTTTTTTTTATATTTATGCGTTGTGAACTTGTTTTATGGGAAGCAGAATATGTCTTTAGAAATTAAGGTGAGAACTACCTAAATAATGCTTGCTTAGGTGGATCTTCATGTTTTGTTTAGACATGAGTATTGTTTTATTATAGTTAATTTAAAACAATATTATTAAAACTATTTTTAATCAAATAATTTGTATAAATCCTTTTTAAATTACCTATATTTCGTTTCAGATTTAAAGGAATTGGTGGAAATGAAGCAATTTGAGAGTAAAAATTACATCCAAGTTATTCACCGTATCCAGGATAAAGTATTAAGGAACATCCTGGTACTAACGCAATACTGATCTTCATAGGGACCTTAAAGTGGAGACTGTTGAAAATACAATACAAAAAATGGAAACCTTGAGATTATTCAGCTCCTTAACAATGCCAATCTAATAGGAAGACTCAAGAGAACCCGGCCTTTTGAGTTCTTAGTTTATGAAGTTTTTCATCCCTAGATAAGTTAGGTAAAAATAAAATTGCCAATTGATCTTAATGATTAGATTATATTAAAATCGTAAATGTTTCTTTACTTGGAGCATTTATTAAAAAAAAACCTAGTTTTTTTAAATTAGTGCATTTAAAGGAATTGGTGGAAATGAAGCAATTCACTTCTATATTTTATGAAATATTCTTTAAAACATATTTATTTATTTGTTTGTTTAAGAAACAATGTTTTGTGTATTTTAAATAAACATGTATATTTTTAAATGTCTGTTTAGTCTAATATTATAATAGAAAAAAACTAGAATACATTTCTGAAATATTACTATTTATTATTTCTAAAAGGTTTCTAATTTTCATTTTAGAAATATTACTGTGAAATATTATATTTAGAGGACATTTTTACGTTTCAGGCATATTTCAAAAATGTTTCTGAGATGTTTCGTAATATTTATACAACATTGCAAATGTTTCAATGTAACATTGTTGAAATATTTCTGAAATGTGTTTGTGCTGTATGGGATGTATATACAAAGTTATTTTTGACAATTAAACCGTTTTATTAGTAATTTATGTTGATGACGGACTAATATTTTGTAAGTTTTGTAAATTGGGACGGTAGCGTAGGTGTCTAAGGCATTCGCATTCAAAATATTCAAACAGAACTAAAAAGGGTATTTGAGATTACAATTGGTGAACCAAGTTACGATCACTTATTGTTCAGTTAATTATCATTTATCATATTTTTTTTTAAATAGTCGAAAAATAAAAATAATTATTGATTCTCATTTATTTTTTCTAATTAATCACTTTATGCTCAAAGTATTGTACACTTTATAAAAATGAACACTGATTATAAATTCAAAACAAATCCGGTCCATATTACCCGAAAAACGTCTTTAAATGGCATTGTAGGATATACAGCTAGATTATATAAGACAATTTATTTCGAATAGTGTCATAAAATATACCGGTCTGTATTTAAAAAAATAAGTTGAGGATGGTCCGGAGAATACGAAACGTTGTATACAAAATCTTAAAACGGCAAATAAAAGAAAATTTAATATTAAATTAAACAAAAATGTTTTGATAGTTCTGAAAATTAATGAAAGATAACCAAAAAACCGAAATGATTGAAATGAAATATCTATGTAAATACATACCTGATGTTCCTCGACCAGCAAAATCTAATATTGAGTATCCTTCAGTAATTGGGGCAGAAGTAGCTTCTTCAATGGCTTTAGAACACTGCGAGTGTAGCTGAGCAAGCTGAGGAGACGTTTTAGGCAGTTCCGTAGCAGTTAGTTGAATTTCTAGTTGATTAAGTTTCGTTAGTACCTGAAACAATAATTTAGATTTATTGATTTACGTATAATGCAAGCCATATGAATAATAAAAATGTTAGAGATAACAATGTATGTGTAATGAATTAGAATAATATTACTACTATTCCTATAATTCTCTCGTTTTCGAATCAAGCAATGAAGTTAGGAAAGCAGAGCTTGATACCATTCGACATAGAGATGAGGAAAATCCATCATCATTGATACGATGGTCCATTGTATTTTAAATATGGATGTAGTATTAACATAAATTGAGTCAATGCTAATACGCAATCCATAAAATCATACAACGTACCATGCAAGTTAACGAAACAAAATGTGTTTATTGTGGGATTCAAACCACTATGTTGTCTGTAGGAGGAAGAGACAGCTGTTAAATTAATATTATTGTTGCAAAACATTTTTAAAAATAAAGAAGTTTTAAACTGAGTAAGTAAATAGGAATCACTAAAATTTCTATAACTTAAAACTTAGTCGCTCAATACATTGGACTACTACTCTATCTAGACTAGAGTCACATATATCAGATAACAAGTTTGGTTTCAGTGCGGTAAGGTAAACGAGATTTTATTGCGATGTGGTGTTTATTCCAAGAAATATAATGTAATGGTCTATTAAGAGCAAGCTAGTGAAACATAAATAAATGATTCAGAATATTACGTATGCAGAGTCAAACACCAATGTGAGACAACAACTGAAGTAAAAGTCGATCTGTATCATGGTTTAGTCTTGAGCCAATTTCTGATCTGTTTGGTATTAGATGAAATTGTGGGAGACATACGGGGTGCTGGTCAGTAATTTGGTGGAAGACTCAATTAATACGTTAGATCAGATCAGATCAGGAGTTTGAATTAGTAGAGAAAAAAAAAGTATCAAAACTATAGTTTTGATTATAATTAGAGGCAGTTTCCAATGATCATGGAGTTGCAGAGTCAAGCAAAAGCAATATACGATAAATTTTGGTACTTTGTATCCGTCTTATAAAATGATCGGGAGTTTCGTGAATAGAGTAATAGCAAGGTGATAAAAGTGAAAGGTAGCAAATTATATATGACAGATTAGTAATAATTAAATTAAAGTTTAAAAAGACAACTGTTGCATTGATATTCGGGTCTAAATATTCAGTAACGAAGAAAAGAGATAAACAGAATATACACGTTGCTGCGGTGGAGTCATTAAACGAGTAATTAGGTAATTGATGTTGTAATGGCGCGTAACTCGACGAACCCCGCCGAAAGGATTGGTGGACGATGATGATTATGATGATTTCCGTATAACTCTATGGAAATATAATTTTAAATCTATTATTATTTCAGGATTTATCCCTAATAAAATATCGCGAAATTAAATGGCTAAAATAGTAGAGAAAGATAAGAATATGGGGGAAACATAGCAAATATTAAATTATTTTTATTTCAATAATTATTATTAGAATTACTTTATATGGAATAATACAAATAAATACGTACAGTTTGAGCTGATCTAAAGAACGCAATCACTCTTTCCAATAGAGTTTCTCGATGTTGGAGATCGGCCAAATAATCAGATGTTGCTGAAAGAATAGCGTATGATTGCTGCGTTGCTTGTTCTCCAGCAAAACATCCTGACGCTACTAATTGTTCTGTTGCTTTGGTTATCTTCAAGGCTCTTTCTTGAAGTTGCTGAGCATCTGGAAGCAATTTTTTGTTTTCGTGGAGGAGCAGTTCCGCACTAGATGATGAATCTCCTAAAATTGAAACATAACATAAAAACAAATACTAAAGCACATATATTTTTATCTTACAATCAGAATCAAAGCGAATGTTGGAAACATAAAAATGAACAACAAACAAATAAAATAAAATGAATAGTTTGATATAGACAAAAATAGAGACAACCATAAGGTAATAAAATAGAACGTCCCTAGAATAGAATAAAAGAGATCATTCACGATCAAGCAAACCAAATGGAAATTAGTAAACACTTTCGAATATATTAAAAAGGACATTACAGTTAAAAGTATACCATGCAGTGGTTTAATCAACTATTAGATTTGCGTTTGAATCCTCTGGGTTTCCATGAAGAAATACAAATTAACGTTAATGAAACGAAATACATAAAGAACAAGAACCGATATTGACAAAGTTGGTTTAGACAAAATAGGTAGGAAGAGAAGTAGAAAAAGCTCTAAAATAGAGGGAAGCACCGTTGTGTGAAGACCTACTTGTAGTACAACCCTATGGATTTATTATTAGATCTAAATGGATACAGATAATAATAGATAAAGAGCTAGATAGAGACGTAATAAATGGATAAAGCTTATAAATGGATACAGCTAATAGATGGACACATATTAAATATTAATACAGCTAATATATGGATATAGCTAACAGATGGAAAATAGGTCGAATATTTTGATATAAACTGGGTGGCCTTGAGTTTCGAATTGGTCTATGTGCTATTTATTTTATAGTTTGAGGGCATCTGCAGGTCCTGGTGTAGTTTGCAAAATGCATAGCTTGGATATGTTATCTTCAGTTGCTGTAGTTTCGAGAATAAAAAAAAATCGCAGATTTTGCTTTTGAATCAATAATAATTGTATATGCCGAAGCAAACTTTTTTGAAACCTGTGAAGATTTAAATGGTCATATATATTTTTTCTGTTTTTTTTTTTTTTTTTTTGTTTTTCGTTTTTTCTTTTTTTTTTTTTCTTTTTTTTTGTTTTTTGTTTTTCGTTTTTTCTTTTTTTTGGTTTTTTAAATTGTTTTTATTGTTTTTTCTTTCTTTTATTGTTTTTATTGTTTTTTATTGTTTTTATTGTTTTATTGTTTTTATTGTTTTTATTGTTTTTATTGTTTTTATTGTTTTATTGTTTTTATTGTTTTTATTGTTTTTATTGTTTTATTGTTTTTATTGTTTTTATTGTTTTTATTGTTTTTATTGTTTTTATTGTTTTTATTGTTTTATTGTTTTTATTGTTTTTATTGTTTTTATTGTTTTTATTGTTTTTATTGTTTTTTATTGTTTTTATTGTTTTTATTGTTTTTATTGTTTTTATTGTTTTTATTGTTTTTATTGTTTTTATTGTTTTTATTGTTTTTATTGTTTTTATTGTTTTTATTGTTTTTATTGTTTTTATTGTTTTTATTGTTTTTATTGTTTTTATTGTTTTTATTGTTTTTATTGTTTTTATTGTTTTTATTGTTTTTATTGTTTTTATTGTTTTTATTGTTTTTATTGTTTTTATTGTTTTTATTGTTTTTATTGTTTTTATTGTTTTTATTGTTTTTATTGTTTTTATTGTTTTATTTTTATTGTTTTTATTGTTTTTATTGTTTTTATTGTTTTTATTGTTTTTATTGTTTTTATTGTTTTTATTGTTTTTATTGTTTTTATTGTTTTTATTGTTTTTATTGTTTTTATTGTTTTTATTGTTTTATTGTTTTTATTGTTTTTATTGTTTTTATTGTTTTTATTGTTTTTATTGTTTTTATTGTTTTTATTGTTTTTATTGTTTTTATTGTTTTTATTGTTTTTATTGTTTTTATTGTTTTTATTGTTTTTATTGTTTTTATTGTTTTTATTGTTTTTATTGTTTTTATTGTTTTTATTGTTTTTATTGTTTTTATTGTTTTTATTGTTTTTATTGTTTTTATTGTTTTTATTGTTTTTATTGTTTTTATTGTTTTTATTGTTTTTATTGTTTTTTATTGTTTTTATTGTTTTTATTGTTTTTATTGTTTTTATTGTTTTTATTGTTTTTATTGTTTTATTGTTTTTATTGTTTTTATTGTTTTTATTGTTTTTATTGTTTTTATTGTTTTTATTGTTTTTATTGTTTTTATTGTTTTTATTGTTTTTATTGTTTTTATTGTTTTTATTGTTTTTATTGTTTTTATTGTTTTTATTGTTTTTATTGTTTTTATTGTTTTTATTGTTTTTATTGTTTTTATTGTTTTTATTGTTTTTATTGTTTTTATTGTTTTTATTGTTTTTATTGTTTTTATTGTTTTTATTGTTTTTATTGTTTTTATTGTTTTTATTGTTTTTATTGTTTTTATTGTTTTTATTGTTTTTATTGTTTTTTATTGTTTTTATTGTTTTATTGTTTTTATTGTTTTATTGTTTTTATTGTTTTTATTGTTTTTATTGTTTTTATTGTTTTTATTGTTTTTTATTGTTTTTATTGTTTTTATTGTTTTTATTGTTTTTATTGTTTTTATTGTTTTTATTGTTTTTATTGTTTTTATTGTTTTTATTGTTTTTATTGTTTTTATTGTTTTTATTGTTTTTATTGTTTTTATTGTTTTTATTGTTTTTATTGTTTTTATTGTTTTTATTGTTTTTATTGTTTTTATTGTTTTTATTGTTTTTATTGTTTTTATTGTTTTTATTGTTTTTATTGTTTTTATTGTTTTTATTGTTTTTATTGTTTTTATTGTTTTTATTGTTTTTATTGTTTTTATTGTTTTTATTGTTTTTATTGTTTTTATTGTTTTATTGTTTTTATTGTTTTTATTGTTTTTATTGTTTTTATTGTTTTTTATTGTTTTTATTGTTTTTATTGTTTTTTATTGTTTTTATTGTTTTTATTGTTTTTTATTGTTTTTATTGTTTTTATTGTTTTTATTGTTTTTATTGTTTTTATTGTTTTTATTGTTTTTATTGTTTTTTATTGTTTTTATTGTTTTTATTGTTTTTTATTGTTTTTATTGTTTTTATTGTTTTTATTGTTTTTATTGTTTTTATTGTTTTTATTGTTTTTATTGTTTTTATTGTTTTTATTGTTTTTATTGTTTTTATTGTTTTTATTGTTTTTATTGTTTTTATTGTTTTTATTGTTTTTATTGTTTTTATTGTTTTATTGTTTTTATTGTTTTTATTGTTTTATTGTTTTTATTGTTTTTATTGTTTTTATTGTTTTTATTGTTTTTATTGTTTTATTGTTTTTATTGTTTTTATTGTTTTTATTGTTTTTATTGTTTTTATTGTTTTTATTGTTTTTATTGTTTTTATTGTTTTTATTGTTTTTATTGTTTTTATTGTTTTTATTGTTTTTATTGTTTTTATTGTTTTTATTGTTTTTATTGTTTTTATTGTTTTTATTGTTTTTATTGTTTTTATTGTTTTTATTGTTTTTATTGTTTTTATTGTTTTTATTGTTTTTATTGTTTTTATTGTTTTTATTGTTTTTATTGTTTTTATTGTTTTTATTGTTTTTATTGTTTTTATTGTTTTTATTGTTTTTATTGTTTTTATTGTTTTTGTTGTTTTTATTGTTTTAAACATAAAAATGAGTTCACTATAGTAACAACACATGATGAAACCCAAAATTACCTTGCTTGTTTTGGGAAGTATGGGAAGTTTGGGAAGTACTCTTTAACTACGTTGATTATTATATACTGAAAAAGATGTAGATAATATTATCATTTCTCAATTCAGAAACATAAACATCCAAGTCCAACAAATTTGGTTAGTGATAATGTGAGAAAGAAATTCTAACCAAAATATTACGTTTTTTTTTTAAAGGAAATGCAATTGAAGAAACCTATGATTTAAGACATTTAAACAAAGTTGGTAATATATATTTTTCTCAAATAAAACAACTTTACCATGGAAACTATCATACTACCTCAACAAATGTCAGAAGGAGAAGTCAAAAGAGTTGACTATCCGACCCGCCTGAGACTAGAAATTGTCAACAAAATAACGTCAGTGACAACAATGACAACTGTTGCCATGGTTGCTTTGATTTGTTTGGAACTAGTTGCACCTAATTATCAAGGTCTATTATAAATAATTAATTTTGTAGTATTTTACTTTTAATAACAATAAAAAAAATACAACAGTTTAGAAAAAAAATAATAATATAAAATGACTTACCAAGTTGATTACTATTGGCCAACAGATCTCTCTTTTTATGAACTGCATCCTCTAGTTCTCTTAAATCAGCTGCTAATATAGCCAAAGCCAAACACTGTTCTAACTGAGTCTTTCTTCTGTTAAAAGTCCCTTCTAGAACTTGCCGCTTCAGATGTAATTCATCTAACCATCCTTGTACTTGTGATATGGCTGTGAAGAAGTAATTACACATTTTACGAATATAGAAAAACATTTCATTTATGTAATGGGAAATTAAAATATTGAACTTAACAACTGATTCTTTATTTATCTTTACATTAAATCTGATTGATTTGAATATGCGTTAAAGACCGATTGGACTGGATTGTTGTTCTCATAATCTTAACCTCTTTTCGTTTGGCTGGTAACCAGCAATTAGGTATGTTAACAATTGGAAGGGATTAAATGTCAGAATAAAAGAGTGGGGCACTAAAATATTTATACATACGAGGTAAAAGAAGTGTGAAAAATTAAAAAAATGAACATAGAAAAAATGTATAAAGCTTATGTACTTACATTTAATTGAAATAAATATATTATTACTAATTTATAGGCAAATAGACAAATGTCAGTAATGTAAAGTAATTTAAATTAAGAAAGTTTTTCAAAATAATAAATAAGTAAATAATATTTCATTTTCATTTATTACTTTTACTATATATTGCAAATTTTAATTGTATATATTTATAGAGCATCAAAGTTCAAATGCTCTAGAACAATTTATTGTTAAGGTTATGTATAATTATATCCCAAGGCAGATACACAGTGAAAGGTTAGGTTGATTTCTTTTTTATCAGATATAGTCAACATTTATTAGAAAGTAATGGTTCAATAAACAGACGATTTATTAAATTTCTTCCAACAAACTTGTCACATTATAAAAATGTGACGATTAATTATAATTTTTTTAATTTGGTTAGTTAGTGAAGAAAAAATAATATGACGAATAAAAATATGAAAAGCTAAACGAGATCAGTCACTAAAAAGGTATGAAGCTAAATATGTAAGAATAATCAATGACTAAATTATTATTGTTAAACGGGATAATTGCCAAATTATAAGATTGCCTTCCTATGTTTTGAAGTTCAAGATATCAGGTCAGGACCTGAATAGGTTGATTTTCTTTCTTTTTTGTTGTGATGCATTTATTTTCAAAAATATAAAAAAATGTTTTAATGGTTTTTCATTTGACTACAAATAGAGCTTACGTCCCTGTAGGTAAATTTTTAATTCAACGTTTCGTGTCTGAAGGGCCACCATCAAGATTGTTTTTTATGTATATTTTATTTTTTTGAAAGTACTTCTAAGTTCTAATGCAACCATGGAATTTATATTAACATTTTTAGACGTTTCTGTGGTATAAAATTATTATTATCAGGACATTTTTAAAAACGGAACTATTTATTTATATTTAATTTGTAAAAATCAATAGAGATAAATAAATGTATAGAAACACAATTTACTTTTAATATTCTTTAACAGAATTGAATAAAAATAATTTAATAGGAACACTAGAAATATTTTTAAATGTAATAAAAATTTTAGTTCTGCAATAAATGTTCAATGTTCCCCCTCCCATGTTCATAGCTTAAATTAACTTTCCTAAATAGTTACTTGGCTTGTTGATTGAGTAATTATGACAGCCGTAATAATATTATACATTTTAAGGAATACTGTCATAATAAACATCGTTTTATAAGTACCTCCGCAGACCATTTTATGGATCCATTGGCGTCCGACCAGTTTCTCTTAAAGGTTTCATTTGTATATTCCCGAAATATTAATAATAATATGTATCCCACAACAATCATGCATGAAATATATAATTTGATTTTAAATTTAGGGGCATCCATGGCTCTCAGAAAATCTATATAACACTATGGGTATGCTACCAATACATTAAAATAATCACCTTTGTCTTGGCAGCCATAATAACTGGAATATGAGTTGGCTACATTGATTTTTAAGTTTAGTAATCGGTAATAGGTGAACACTGAAAATCTCCACTTTGTTATTAGTTGTGAGTGAGTGAGATGAATTATTTTAATGTAAAAATCAGACTTGTCTAATTTTTTTTCTATTCTATTCTATAGCAATTCTATTCTAAGTTAGTGAGGATGTTTCCCTGGAAAGTCTAAACTTTACCAATAAAGTTATGGTCAGCAATATATCACAATTGTGGTTTTTGCTTTAAAGCCAATTGTCGACTTTGCTTACCACCTATTTTAGTTTCTAGGCTCAACTTTTAATTATTTCACTGAGGACTATATAGTTTGTTTAAAAATAACTACATCATTTATCCGATGACGTCATCTCTGTTTTAATATTTAGAATACATTAAGGGTATGGTTCGTAATTAACCGACTACTAACCGCTAGTAACCAGGACTTTTTGACAACGGTTTCTGAAAAAAAAGGAAAACACTAGTTTCTTGGTTACTTTTACTGAGATTTACGTCACTTTTGTGACATTTTATATAATAATAATAATAATAATAATAATTATAATTTCGTAGGGAAATTGGGGATTATGCAGGATGTCTGTAAAATGTCTTTACAATAAAATACCGTATATTTCTTGGATCAAAATAAGCCGATTTGAGTAAACTTACCTTTGTACAAAGTGGCTCAATAGAAAGTATGCAATTTGGATTGCTTTACGCATTTACTACAAAAAAGATACTCTTGATAAGATTTGATTACTCTCAGGGTTTTCGCGAATTGTATTTTCATAATTTGGGGTGTAGGTTTTAGAGAAAAATTTATTTACTAAAACATGAATACAAATAAGAAAAATGTCTACCGACCAACCTGAGCAAATTTGTACTAAGGTAAGTTTACTTAAATCGGCTTATTTTTGTTGAAGGAATATGTGGTATTGTTTTGTAAAGAACTTTTACAGACACTCTATATACTTTCATATTTAAAAAATTAGAATTTTAGAGTATGGTTTTATAATGTTTTTATAAATGGCTTTGCAGCATTAAGATTTAGGAGTACTTTCTAAAAATTAAATAAAAAATACAGGTACTTATGTCAAAAATAATATTGATAGTGGCCAATTAGATATGAAAATTTACCTATCTATTATCAAAACATCAGTAAGTCGGTGTCATATTTTGGAAAAATTTTGTTCATTTAACAAAATCACAATAGTGGACATTGTCTGTACTTTGTATACTAAACTTTCAACTATTCTAAATTTTTATTTTCTCGTAAAAATTACCTCTGTTAACTGAAGTTCGAATTCGATCTGGTCTCGAGTCGAGTGTGCCTTCGGCTCCAAGTTCCTTGAGTTTCGCCAGTAAAGAATTTCCCGCCTGCAGCGCCCCCATTAGTGACTCCAGGAGCGCCCTTCTTTGCTCGTGTATGGTCGTCAGGAAGTCCTTTACTGCTTCTATCTCTACCGGTATGACGGTTTCCTTGCAGGAAGCTTCTAATTGATCCATTTTTTCGAAAAAGTCTTGCGCTCTCCTATGGTAGAGGACGTTTAAGTCTAGGATGTGTTTTCGGAGTTCCAGAGTGGAGTTGATGTCCTTCCAGGCTCTGCCGAGGGATTCAGCCATAGCTGCGTAGACTTCCGCTCTTGGTCGTTGAGTTGCAATAAGTTGATCGGCTTGTCGAAGGAGTTCCTCCACTGGACTTTGTTTATTCTACAACAAAACACATGGTGTTAAATGTTTATTATGCGTTTTAGTACAACATGGTAAGAATAACTATATATAAAGGACTATATAATTCCAATGTCTCGAGACGTTGTTTTCACCCCATCGAGGTGACTGTATTTTGTTATTAAGGCTGGCTATCGCCCATGTTAATTCCCCGTATATGCAGAGGTTACTTTTGACGAAGATTTCGGGAAAAGTATACTTTGTAGCATTAATTTTAATATAGAAATCAGTTCATGAAGTATGACTCCGTGTTGTAAAGAAATCTAAATGAACAGAGTTTTTTAAAAATACTGGAAAAATGACTTTGATTCTCGGTATCCGAACCACATAGAAACCCTCGACTTGTCGACGAATTTACTTTAAAACTAAATATATTTAGACGTTTTATTTTTGTTACCACCAGTACAACTAACATATCAAATAAATGAAACAAATCGCAATTCAAAATAATGTTTGGTTTTCCTGAAAGCTTGGTTTGAAATAAAAGCTAATTATTAATTGACCTAATCGGCTAGGGACAATGCAGATAAAATGTGGGGTCTGCGCTAACCACAGTTCGTAGGAATCTGTGCGAAGTTCTAGGTAATTTCACAGATGGCGCTATAAAACCTTTGGTATTTGCATTACTGTAACAACTGAAGCACAACAGGGCCGGAATAAATACAATTTTTATACGAGCGTGTTGAAATTTAATTAAATAAATAATTCGATATATTATTAACAAATATTGTTAAAAAATATGTTTATTTGCGAATGAAATTTAACTTATTGCCATTCTTGTAGTCATTGGTTTTAAATTTAATAATAAATACCTACCGTTCTGTCTTTATAAATAAAACAATACTTTTTACCAAAGTTTAATATATTTGGCTAAATCATCACAATACTCGTTAAATTCAGAATATATACAGAGATAATTGTTTTATTGGCTTAATTGAAAAATGAACTATGCCAATTAAAAACTAAGTTATTTAATAACGAACAATAAAATATTTAATTCCTGGAATTAAATCATATAAGGAATTTCCATTTTCATTGTCCTCTAATATTTCAGTAATAGGTAAACAGGTATCAGATGATACCTCAAATAAGGGACTAAAAAGGGATAGACACGAATTCGTTGAAGCCGACTAAAATAGTTTATGCGGTAAACAGATATATCAATCAAGTAAGGAAGGTGTATGGGAGGTATATTTTATGGTATTTGCTAACATAAACAATAACAAAAACCTAAAGCAACATGTTATATACATTTTAGCATATTTATATAGTTGTCAATATATTTTTTTATAAATTCAAAAATAAATTTAATTTTGAATTAAACTAAAATTATTGTTTTCAGAAGAATTTAGTGGTATACCAACATGGACAACTAAAGGAACTATGGAAAAGAATGTTACTATAGTGTAAAGACCCAATCATATTTTTCCGAATCCAGTAAAGTCGGGTTAAATGATCTTATTTCCATCTTAGGAGTCTATAGCTAAGCTCCTTCCCAACCTCTGGAAATAGAACTTCTGTCTTCACCCATTCCTTCGTTTATTCACCTCTTTCACCTTCATAATATAGTAACTGTCTTCTCCATGTAGACTCCTGGGATGAAAATAAGATAATTTAACCCGGCTTTCCTGGATCTTTATTCTATAGTAACTCTCTTCTCCATGATTCAACCTTTTTAAACTTGCAAACTCGTTGAATTCATAGGACTGATGATACGTGGTCTAAATTAGTAGCTAAAACCTTTATTCAATAAATTTACTGTGACCAAGACTTAGTTTAAATTATTAAATGTTAGTTATAAATGAGGTAATGAAAGGAAATATAAAAATATGTAAGTAACTAAATAGATTATCATATATCAGAAGTTTTAATAAATTTACTGTTTATCCTCAATAATTTAAATAATCCGCGGCCATTACAGAATATTTTTCTTATTATTCTGATTTGTTGTCTTTGTTTCCACGGGAATATTACAGCTTATTATTTACATGATGGTACGAACCATGGTATATCAATCATTGACCATAGAGCTTTTAGCTTGGTTTTGGAATCTTTTAATCATCGGTGTATTGGATTTTCAGGCTGCTTAGACCTGTATAGATCCTAATTATTTCTGCTTTTACCCAGGGTCAGTAATATTCTATCTTAGGCTTAGCAACCTTCGTTTGCTTTGGAACAATCTGCATGCCAAGGAATTTTTGCATTTATTGGACATTATTCTTTCTGGTGTATTTACTTTATATGGTTTTTGAAGCGTCTGGTCTAATAGCAATGCAGTCAGTATGTGACCAACTTTACTTCATCTTTTTGTGATACCGTGTGAGGATTTTCAGTTAACCAAATATGACTATTCCTAGTGTTATTGATCCCATCACGTGTAAATTGGGATTCATCAGTAAATAAAATTCTCGATATTGTCCTTCTGTGGCCAAAGTCCATCTATAAAAAGATAAGTAGGGTACGTCTTCTCCGTGTTCAAGACGCTGTACTTTTTGTACATGAAATGGATGCAAATTTTCTTCTTTTAAATTTTTCCATACTCTTGTTATCGGTACTGCTAATTTATTACTAATTCTTCTTACACTGATAGAAGGATTATTTCGAGATAGCTGTAGTATCTCCTCTTCTTGTCGAAGATTATTTTTCGGAGCATGTTCATGCTTAACTGTAGTTGGAAACATTCCATGTTGATTACTGAATTCAAAATTCTACGAAAATGTCTTAGAATTTGGTAAACGGCGATTAGGAAAGCGTCTGCGATACTCTCTTACTGCTGCTCTACCGTTTCCGTTACAAAAACCGAACACAAAAATAATGTCTGCATATTCGTCATCACTAAATTGAAACGGCATTCTGAAATGCTTATTTTCATACCATTAGAAACATACGCTTATGAACAAAAGTAATTTAGCTCAAAATACTGTACATGAAATAAATTATATTATTTGACACACGCCTACTGGTATTATACAATTTTACATTAGTCATGTTTAGGAAATGAGAGATGGTGTAATTTGGCGCATATTGGCAGTTGATTAAATTGAATTTTCAGCTCGTTTATAAAATACTTAGTTTTTGAACTTTTAAATTTGATTTTATTAGTGTCTTAGTTCGTTTAAGTTTTATTTCATTTTATTTTCCAAATATAATTATCTAAAGATAAATGTGGAGGAAGGAAATGAATCAGGTGGTTTGAAATCATCCTTCTGTTAGTGTAAGAATTAGTAATGATTAAGCAGTACCTAGGTACTAGAACCTAAACAAAATAAATTTGTATCTATTTTATGTACAAAAAGTACACACACAAAATGTTTGGTGTGGAATTTATAAAAATCACTTAATACCCGACCACAGTTATTGGAAAAAATTAGAAATAAACCGGAAATAATTGACAAATTAGTAAAAAACCTATTAAAACATTCGCAAAGGTGTATTGACGTTCGCGGTGTTCATTTTGAAAATCTACTTTGGTTTTAATTAATTATTTGTTTCTGTTAGTTTATTCTATTAATTTAATAACTAAAGTGAGCCCGGTCCTGTGTAGATGTTTAATTTCCTAATGAAAAATGCTGTAGTTAAAAAGAAATGAAGATGGTAGCTAATTTGTGTAGAATTTTAAAAGTACAGTGTAAAATATTTGATTTTAATATTGTAATATTGTAATAGAGTCTGGTCCTGGAATTTTTTAAAATTAAATTATGGTAACTGTTGTAACTTTTGTACACAATTTTATCAAAATATCTGTAGCCGTTCAAACAAAATGGCCGACTTTAGTTTTGGAAAAAAATCATAAAACACCCTATATTTCCGAAACGACTAAGATGAAAGGATAAGTTTGGGGGTGTCTTGAACTCAGCTAAGTGTACGCTGTGTCTGTTTAAATCTGAAACACCTCATAAATAATTACGTATAACTCTACATGTCTAAATGTTGTAACATTTTTTCACAATGCATTATAAACATTAGCAGTTTTGGTTAAAAATTTCATGCCCAATTAAAAATCCTTCAAGAATAATTTTATTAGCCCACTATGTATTTATGAACTCAAATTATCCTTTCCAGACATTATGAAGTATTTTTTAATCAAGAAAGCGCTTCTTTTTTGTATTATTTGAAATTCCTATTAAACCCCCTATTACCTGGTATTCAAATCACCGACTCTCATTTATATGCAGACCATTGTGTGCTGAAGACATGCTCCTGAATAAACAAGCATGTAGTATTGTAACACGCTCGGTTTTGTCAGAGATTTACGGGTCAAAAAGTTAATATAATGCACGTAGGGGAACGTAGTGTATATTTATTTATAACAAACCTTGTATGATTTAGTACCACAGGTCTAGAGTGGAATCATCTGATTTAGTTACTCTTTGTGATACCCAAGTAACGCCCAAAAATATGTCAAATTTCTAGGAATGATGCTGGACAGAATCCTGTCATGGTTACAACACATAATATATCTTACAAAATAAGTTTTAAAATATTAAAAATGAATTCCATTCCATTACTGAAAGTCACATTAGATATGGGATAACTGAATTGTTTGGAAACTGTAGTAATACATGTCATACATGACAAGAATACGTCATGGGGTTTAGGAATTCTTGTAAAGGTATTTTAAAGCCATCCTTTGTAAGATGTAGCGAACAAATACAAGCTAAAATGCATAGAAAAAAAATCACAAGACATTACACAAAATTATTATTCAAATTAAATTAAAACATACAAATGAAGTGAATACCTACTCTCTAAAATAAATAAACTTAGGAGACTAGAGCCCTAAAAAGGGAGCCCCTATTTGTTCTATATCCTCATTTATAAGCAAATTGTGTTTTTGTATTACATTTTAAAATAAATCAAATCAAAACAGAACAAAATTGAAGGTGATCTATTTTTACGACTTATTCTATCTACATTTGAGATTATGAATAATTTATTAAATTTAATCATTTTATCCTAAAAAATCTGCGCATTTTATTTAG